AATGGCTACTAGCTAGTTAAGTTTTGGAATCATAGAATCAACTAGGTTAGAAAAGGCCTTTAAGATCCAAGTCACACCTACAGTTACCCTGTCAAGTCTACCACTAAACCATGAAATTCTGTATTTTATATTATTAATCATTAGTACGCTATTAACATAGGAGTATATTGTTCTCTAGATATTTCTTCATACCTTTTCTGGCAACCCACCTTGTAGAATGCTTTCTTCTTCCCGCTTTTGAGGTCCTTCATACTCCTTCTCACAAATTTGGCCCTTTACAACAAAGTTGTCATCTCACTGCCTCATGCAACATTCTGCTTGCTTTATCTTACCAGCAGTTCTTCTGGCCCCCATGTTAAATTTGAAGGTCTCAGTGGAGGGACATCTCTCTCCCTTATTTACAGTCTCTTTACAGCAAGATCTTCAAGCTTTTTTCTTTACAGCAAGCTCTTCAAGCTTTCTATTAATTTTGTTATTTATACTTCAACTTGACTACGAGATCAAGACATGAGTTACACAACACAGTACTGTAACTAGATTTAACTATTATGTATTCCTTACCATATTTTTGCTTTGCACTTAATGTACAGATACTATATTTCCCCACACTAATGCTATACTTTAATTCCACGTCAGTTATCAGTACATTGGCTGGTTCCTTATAAATTTCAATTTTTTATGTTTTAATCTAAATGTACTATAAAGTAGGCAAAGAAACAAGTACATGATGGCAGTGCCAGTGCAGTGCTATGCTAACAGCATTAGAAAAACAAAAAATGTCCCATAATTAACTGTCCTGGTCTCTTTCAAATACTTAATGGATTTAACTTAAAAAAAAGTAAAATAGCCTTATTAAAATTTCTATTTAAAGTGTTAAAAAAACAACAAAAAACAACAAAACAACAAACCCACAAACTTCTTACATACTCCCATTTTAAATTTTTATCAAGTAGCATCTGCTACTGCATATGCATAGCTATTGCTACTGTTAATAAACCTAAGAGCATCCCTTCTGGAATACATGACACTTGGGCAGCCCCAACAGGTATGTTGCGACTTAACACAATAGTGCTGGAGCTAAGCAGCTACGCAGACAGTGTGCCCCACCATGCGGCTGCAACTGGTACCACAAAAGCATTCCTCAATGTTCCTCACATACCTGGCCAACAACTTCTGCACTTCAAGTTACAGATGCATCTCCAACAGCTCTCTTTTTATACATGATGGTTGAGTAACTACTGCACTTGTCTGCTACATCTTGAAAAAAGTTTTATAATTAGACATCATTTCAGGTATTCAAGTAAAACTGATACAAGTAATTAAAAGGCATAATCAAAAGGCAATGGGTATGTAAAAGTTCTCCTTTACTATGATCCACCTTTTTATTTATAAATTGAACAAGCCTCTTTAGTTTGCTTTCTTTCCCCTAAATACTTGTCCTGCAAAGGCAATCTGAAAGGTGGAAATTTCAGCAGTTTTATGGTGTAATCCATCAAAAAAAGCCTGATAGGAAAGCTGTCTCTCATATTTTCAGTATAAGGAAAACACACATATGCTCCCTCCCTTGTTCTTTTTCAAATGTCACCAAGATGTGAAAGAGTCATCACCAAGTTACCACTGGGCTTGCATAGTGAAAAGATACACAGTAACCACAATAGAACTCAGTATTTCAGCTGGGAAAAGAATCAGACTGTGGCACTGGCTCCAGCAACTTCTCACCTTAGAAACAGAAACCAAACAAGAACTATTTACATTTGTCACTTCACTTGCTACCTTTAGCTTAATACTTAAATCCAGAAAATTTAAATAGTCATATCAAGAGAGATCCTGATGCTTCAGATTATAATCAGTGATTCCATCACTTAGAAAATCATGATCAGGACATTGGCTGACACAGATTAGTTTTCTTAAATATTATTTATCACAACCATCTTATGAGGTTTCTGTGGCTGAAAAGTTTAGCTGACCTTTTCAGTCCTGATTAACATGTCAACAGACAACTAAGAGTAAGCCGAGTTCATGCCTTCTATACTAAGGAAATTCAATTTTGAATATTTGCATTAAATATATTAAGCCCGTGACTTCAGAGATAGTGGATCCAAAATTAAAACTTTTGTTAGTTTTATAAAATATGAAATTCTGTATGAGGACATTTGTTCTCATACTCCCTGCACCCCAAGCAAGTAGGAGAAATACAGGAATATGATTAAATCCCAGAATTCCAGGATCACAGCAATGTAGACATCAACATAGGGCTAATCAAAACAAAATCAAACAACCTGCTCCTATACTGAACTAGTGCTCCAATATAACATTGGCCCTTTTTAGTGATGCAGCTTGTAAAACATAAGAATTTCTGGAAAGTGGCATTCACTCACTGAACAACGTATTCACTTTGTGAAATACAAGAAAGTTACCCACATAACCCAATTAAAACTATTGGGCTTGAATACTCAGATCTGTACCCGAAGATTTAGACTCCTTACCAAATAACAAGCCTTCTATCTCAACATTCCTACAATCATTCAGTAACTAGACATATAAAGAGTACAGTCTGAATCATCAGCAAGTCCCATGAAGTCTTTCCAACAGTTTATCCTATGAAGCTTTCTTCAGCTTAAAATTCTTCCAAGTTTACCTGTACCATTTATCAAGCAGTCAAGTGAGCTATAAATCAAATGAGGAAACTGGACTTTTTTTTTGCCATCTTTGCTGGAAAGGCAATAGTTTGCACCAAGGGACAGCTGCCAACAAATCAGAGGGCAATGAAGACTCAGAACCACTACTGCCTTTCCTAGTCTAAGGACCTAGGTGCTCTCTGAAAAAGCTGCTGGTACAGAACAGCATAGTCATCCATATCCTCCCAACACAAATATCAGGAATGTTTCCTGATTTTGACCACTTGTAAATTATCAGAAGTGCTACAAGACACATTCAAGGAAAAACTCCTTCACAACATGCTCAAATAGATGCTTGTGCTAGGAAAAACATTATTAAAGGCAAAGTTTTCAGCTTAGCGCTAAAATGACCACATATACAAAACTGGCCTATAGTTTAATGCACCCATATGAAAACCAACTCACCAAAGCAGGAACAGACTTAGCTTTTCAGTTACTTCTAAGACACAGGGCCCTCTTAAATCAGGACTGATAGCAATCAGCTCCTGCCACTAAACGAGGTGAATAAAACAACCAGTGCTACCACCCCAGGTCAGAATAACTGGCTTCTATTAGACAGTTTTTTCTTCTTTCAGGAAAGCAAAGATATGAAGAACAATTTGCCTCAGCACTGTTCCCTCCACTAGTTTAGACTAAGGTTGTATGAGCCAAACAACAGAATCAATTCTAAAGGAAAAAGACAAATTTAACCTGCAGGCATAGGAGGGGCAGTTTTCATCCTTCCTGGCAAACGTATTTTCTGTTTCTGCAGACAAGTGTTCTCCACTGTTTCTAAAAAATATTCTGTTTAACATCCTTAAAGCTAGGGTTGCCACTGAAGCTCCTAAGGGAGCCTCTCATACTCCTGCATTTAAAGGTTCAGTGAAAAGTAGCAAAACATTTCCTCTACCAGTTTCTTCAACTGAAGCTTTTGCCTTACCTATTTTGTACTTGCACTAGTTCAACTGCTCTTCTAATACAACACTCTGGGCTTGGACACTTAAAACATCCAAGAGTTTTACCAGAACTAGGAACAATAAATGGCTGAGTGGCTCATCCTGCTTTTGAAAGTTTAAGCTGAGCAAGTTCTGTACTGACAAGTCACTAAAAAACAATTTGAAAATAGAGATCTTCGTGTTGGAAAACTCACCAGTGTGTAGGGAACAAAACTCCCACGATTAACCTGATCAAATCACAGAGCAACCAAGTAGAGCAAAGTCAGTACTGCAACAAAGGATTTAGGTCTCACCAATTCAGTCCTAGTAACAGTAGAATACTGATACAGACTGATGTAACTATTCAGTACAGATGGTCTTAGGATGCAAGTTTTATTTTCCTCATTACTTGACTACATAGAAAAAAACTATTTTGCTTAAACTCAACCACTGGAAAACATCTAAGAAATGTTATTACATAGTTAACTATAACTGAGAAGTGTGCATACACATATTAAGGCTACCTGCATTATTTAGAATGAACAATTTACAGGGACTGAATGTGACAAAGTGTAACACTGTGAACTTAATTCCACTTCCAAAACAGTTCCAGCTCAAGAGATTACTTTATAGCAGGCCTAGTACTACTGCCTGCTTCAGGTAAGATTTTTTGAGTGGGAAGTAACACTGAAGATTACAAAGCAAAGCTCACCATAGTCATACTAGTCCTTAAAACAGCTATTTCACCTTCCATAGACCTTTTCAGGTTTTGTAAGAACTCATACTTGGTACCTTTGTGCAGCAGGCGAGTTGCAAAGATGACACCATACACACACTGAAACAATACAAATGTAACTTCAATGTTGCTTTTTTTCTTCTTAAGGTGTATCAATACTGCAGAAGTATGGAAGTCTTCCAAGTCAGTTTGTGGGTTTTAAGCAGTGCATTTTCAGAAGCCAGACAGCTTGAAGAGACAAAAAAAAGCTACCACACCTAGTAAAGCAGCAGCAAATAGTTAACCTAACACTATTAACTAAGACACACAAACACACAGGTAAATTAGTAGACACAAAGAACCTACGATAGGAAGTTAAAGCAAGAGGATGCAGCAAAAAGATCCAATGAAATGGTAAGTGGGAGTTTGCTTTTTGATCAACTAAGTACATAACATCCCTCATCTTCATTAAGAGTTCCAGGTCCTAAACACAACCCATTTTCATTGTCTTGCTAAAAAAACAAAACCCAAACAAAACAATACCACCACCAAAATCCACAGAACTCCAACCTGCATGAAGTTAAGTGATTCCTTTACAACAGTACTGCAAAAATAGTTACCAGTTAACTTTTTGCTACCATGAGTAAATATTCAAGTAGGCATTACGTACACAAACATGCAAGTTAAAAGGAGTAAATGAAATGCTCCACTTTATTAAGAAACCAAAAATACAAAACTGAAGATTCCAAGGCTTCATGTACTCAACCACTACTGAAAAATGGTATTTTCAACTCAGTTTTGTTTACTAGTGTACTAATATTGATCAAGATTCGTCTCTACAAGGTAGTGTTAGAAGTTGACATGTTCCACCATTTGTGCTGTAACAAGCTAGTTTCAAATTAAGAACTTGGTGCAGTTACAGTAAAGTCTAGGTATTTATATAAATGTGGTTTTAGTAAATATGCTGTTTGTAGCCAAGAGCTTTTTGGCTCAAACTACATCTGTTTCTTAGTTAGTGAATTTTAAGATGCTTAGAAAGAGTTTCTTCTTTAATAAGCTATAGCTCTACTAAATGATGTTCCATGCAAAGATACAGCTCTTATGTCACCTAGAAGACCCAGATGACATTTGTTTCTGGCTACTAAAAACAGAGCTCTGTGAAAGCATATTCTAGAACATATTAGAAGTTAAAGATCCAAAAGACTGTATCTAATGGTAGCATACATAATCGGAACTACACTTTTCCCTCCAAACACCCTGCAGACCACACACATTCCCATTTACACAGGAATGTTGATCCAGTCATGCTTACCAGTCAATTGTTCACTGTTTTAGTTCTACCTGCAGGTAGTTCAGCTTTCCTCAGGTGCTTTATCTGATTGAGGAAATCAAGGGAAGGTTAACTGTTAGCTCTGATTTAGCAAGAGAAGTGTAACATGAGAAGCAGGAGGGAAAAGAACAGAGAATGAAAATTGTAGCAGACAAAGTATTATCAACTGAACAACAGAGACACTTTGAAGAGTTTTCCTAACAATTCATGAAAAGTTCACTTGCTTAGAGATACTTGAAATACAACTTTATTATCTAAACAAAAAAGAATGGGAATGACAAAAACAAGATTTACCACTTAACACTCTGATGTGACTGCAGCAGTCTTACATTTGAAACTCAAAAGGGGAAGTAATTGCAGTCCAAAAAACAGCTAAATATGCAGGTCCAAAATATGAAGTGTTTTGTTTTAGTTTTTTTCTTTTTTTTTTAAACTGCCACATTCACTCCGAAGCCCATTCATCTCTTTCAGCATCCCAAAGATTAAGCACATGTTCTGCTCAGCTAGATAATAAAGTGGCAAACACGCTGCACCACTGACATCACAGGACAGTTGCCTATAAAACTAGACTTCTGACGCTGGGCTCCAGCTTCATCCTTCACAGGTCGTCATCTTCATCTGGCAGTGCAGTGGTTTGAGCAATCTGTAACAAAGAAGCTACACTTAAGAACTGTTTTTTAGTTTCTTGCCCCAGGAGTTTGAATACATTAACAGGGCACAAAGGCAATCACCTGACCTTCTTCACTTACCTGTAAGTCTTGCTCATACTGTGCTGCCAGTGCTGGGTCCATAACAACTTCAGGTGGTGCAAGAGCAGGCATGGCAACAAACTCCAAGTTAGGATCTCCAATTAGCTTTCTAGCAAGCCAGAGGAAAGGCTTCTCAAAGTTGTAGTTACTCTTAGCGGAAATGTCGTAATACTGCAAAAAAGCGTGTATTATACTTCATTAAAAAAAATAATGCATCTCTAACTGATAATTAGGGCATACTGATATTAACATGCATATCATCAGCTCTACTTTTACATCAGTGCTTTCTGACCACAACTGCTCTTTATGCTTTCAGAAACAGCTATGCTGTAAGTGTCTAGAAGCGTACCATTTCAGGCACATAGGTGGAAACAGATAACCGAAAAGGTACCCAATCTGATCAAAGGTGGAACTTTAAGGAAACAACATGCATCTATCTTTTCCTGCGACTTTAGTTTCACTTGTGTCATCTGAGGAGATTCTGAGCAGTGAAAGCAGATGTACACAAGCTTTTTAACAGCTTATCACAGCTTCTGCTCAAAACCAGTGATGACCATTGTTACTTGTCCATTCCCTGATGTTTGGCCAACAGGATACAAAGTTGGCTATTACAACCTGGAGTGACAAAGGCAGTAGACACCATTACTGCACAGAATCCAACCTAACAAATTTGATTCCTACAAATTCATGCCAACATACCTGGAGATTCTTCTTCCTGTGGAAGACAATGGACTTGGCCTTGACTTTTCTGTCCTTAATATCCACTTTGTTGCCACACAACACTATAGGGATGTTTTCACATACTCGTACCAGATCTCTGTGCCAATTAGGTACATTCTTGTAAGTAACTCTTGATGTTACATCAAACATTATGATGGCACACTGAGCTGCAAGAAAATAGTCACAAGTTACCTCAGGAGAGTAAGCACTTGCTTATTAAACACAAGAAAGAAGATGTACATACAGAAATCATTTACATTTAGGGTTAAACAACTGCATTTACTTCTCCCCCTCAGCTTCACAGTTCTGGGAGCCGGTGATTCTGTTAACAAGTTCAAGGCCTAAGTCCACAGCACTCGACCCATCATCACAACACCTTACATCTTTAGTGCCTCATCTTAAAGACCAGCTGTTTTTACCAGTGCAACTGCTCCACTGAGTCACACAGTGTTGTATGCTATGAGACTATACAAGGATTACAAAAGTCAACTTTGATTTAACATATTTGACAGAACTTAGTTAACACCTATTTAACTAATCTCTGGATTCCTACTGAAGGTTTTGGGTAGGTTGAGAACTCATAGCCCACATCTCAGGACACCCTTGTCCAGAACAGCTCTTCGAAGAACATGGGGGCTTGACTCAATACTGATACTTCTAAAGGAAAAGCAACAATATCTAACTCTAATAATACCTTGCAAAATTTTGAAGAGATGCAGGTGACTGACGTACACACAGAAGAGAACCTGACCAAGCAGAAATAAGGGACATATTCTTTAGAAAGGTAACTAGACTCTGGCATACAAATGTGTAACTTCATCACTGTATCCAAAAATCTGTCTGTGCATTTCAAGTCTCTGCCTCAGCCGAGTAGACTAATACAGACATAAATCCGTGCTAAATGATCTTTTAACAACTGAGTTTCATCAGCAATACCCTGTAATTTAAGGTGCACCGCTATTCTTCATTAATATCAAAGCCTGCAATAGCACACCGAAATGCAATCTTAGGTTGTTCCTACACCGAGACAAGTTGCCCGACAAAGGAAATCATTGTACCTACATGAAGAATTTGAAAACCCAGAAACCAGTTCACCACTGCAAGCCACGCTAAAGTTTTCAGAGTGGCCAAAAGGAACAGAATGAAGGACTGAACTGCAAGAGATTCCAAATATTCCCAACATACACACACTTCTTACCTTGGATGTAATAGCCATCGCGCAGGCCACCAAATTTCTCCTGTCCAGCTGTGTCCCATACGTTAAATTTAATAGGACCTCTGTTAGTATGGAACACCAGAGGATGAACTTCAACACCCAGCGTTGCTATAGTAAAAGGAAAAACCAACACACTTGGTAAATCATGAACTGCACTTTAAATTTTATATTAGATCTCAAGTTTCTTCAGACATACCTACATACTTCTTTTCAAATTCACCAGTCAAATGACGTTTTACAAATGTTGTTTTACCAGTGCCACCATCACCAACCAGGACAAGCTGTTGACAGATGAAAGCAAGAAAGTCAGAGCAGTACACTTCTAGAGACATTTACTGGTTATTTTAGTGCACATACTAATTATTCCTACAAAGACCTTTGTTCTACAAGATGCTGTAAACAAAAGACTGGGTTCTCCATAAAGTAACCCACTGTACCAGGACCCAATTTGTTAAGCCTGTTGTGCTATAACTGTAGTCGGCTTGTCTAGCTCCTGTAGCTGAAAACTACAATGCACTACAAATACAGTTCTACTACGCTACAAGTCAGTGAATGAAGAATATTTGGGATTTTTAACCTGAAGGTGACCATATTTAGACAGGAACTCATGTAAGCCCTTAAAGTGAAGAAACCCACCATAACCTTACAATTAAAAAAGCCTGCACTACTAACAATTTGAATACTCTAGCTAAGTATTGTACAAGATGCAATTAACAGCCTCTGAAGAAGCAATCTGAAAGACCTCTGTTAAAAAAAAAAAAAAAAAGAAAAAACAATCAACCCTTCCTGTCCAAATAAATGAAAACATTAGGAAGTTCTGTTCTGAAACATTTTCACTTATCTTCCCTAGAAAAAATAATATATATATATAAAACCCAACAGAAGAGAGTCAATTTTTAAATCAGTTTAAGTACATTTTGCTGTCAGCTTCACTTCTGAAATTTAAGTCACTTTTTCAGCAAAGCACCACTAAAACTTTTTAAACTACAAGTTACATACTCTGCTACCATAAACTAAGCACACCACTAAGCAAATGCCATCAGTTCAAAACCAAACCTACCATCCACGTTGGCACTTCATAGTCGTTCGTCCTACTTTTTTACTGAAAGAAAAAAAAAAAAATAGAAAAAAAACAACCCACAGCAAACCACTCCCTTACCTTAAACTGCACTTGGGGCTCTCCTTGGGCGGCCATGCTGGGTCTGCAGGGGAAATGGCAGCATGTGAGCTCACAACGGGCGAGCCGATCTCAGGCCCCGCCGGAAGGGGACGGGCGCCGTTTCCCGTTCCCAGCTCGCCCGGAAAGGCGCGTGCTCCGCGCGCCAGGCGGCTAGGACGGGCCCGCGCCGCCCCCCACACCCGACCGCACGAGGCGCCCGTGGTGCCGGGGCCATTCATGAGGCAGGAAGCGGCGCCGCGTCTCCCCGCATGTGGCGGGAACGCGCGATAATGGCGGCGGCACCTCCCCGCCCACCCCGGCGCCTCGTAACGGTAGGCGGCTGCCGCATCGCCTCGGTGTCGGGCTCGAGAAAGGAGACACCGATCCGCGGCCTCCGAAGGACACCTCCGCGAGGGCCGAGCCCAGCCTCGCTCTGCAGAAAGTCCTCCCCAGCCCGCCCAGAATCCCTATCCCAGCCAGCACAAGAATCTATTCAATGACTGGGAGCGCCCAGAGCGAGTCCTCGGGGGGGTCCAGAGAGAAGCGGTCCTCTGACCGGGCCCCAGCCCCGCCAACGGGCCTAAACACTCTCCCAGCCCGCCATGAGCCACCATGACTGAGCAGCGCGCGCCTCCTCCCCTCCCCCCCCCCAGGCTCGGGTGGCTGGAGGCCCCGCTCTGTTCCTCCGCTCCAATCTCGCCAGCCCTTTTTCCCGGGACTAAGCACAGTACCGCTCCTACCCTTCCACCTCTCCATTTCCAAGGGCTGAGAGGAGAAAAGCCGCCACAACAGTCAGCTACCACAGCTGCAGCGGTCACTCAGGCCCACCTCACTACAACCCAACCCATCCTCTAGTACTGCTCCTGGCGGTAACTAACGGTGACCGCCATTACCATCATTCAAGGATTTTAAAACGGCCACACCCGCTCCTACAAGGATGAGGGGGACGCCCCAGCCCCGTTACCTTTCCCGAGGCGTCTCTCCGCGCCGCTCCGCTCAGTGCCGAGGCGCTAGGAAGATGGCGGAAGCGAGGTTCAAATACCCAGACAGCGACGCCGCGCGGCCACAGAGAAGAGGAGGAGCCGGCGTCACGTGGTAAGAGGCGGGCGGGAGGCGGCTGGTAGTCCTCAGCAGCCCTGAGAGAGCGGGGTCTGACGGTTCTGGGGCCGGGCTCAGTGTTTCGCTGGTGGCGGCGGCGGATCGGTCGGACACCCCTTCGCGGGGTCAGAGCCCCGGCGAGACTCGGTCTGTCCGACAGCGGGGAGCAGCTTCTCTGTGGTACGGCAGGAAGGACGCGCGCGCACAGCTACCCCCTGAGGGGCTTCCCGCCACGAGCAGCACCTTCCGCTGTAGTGGCCGAGCTTCGCTGGTGAGGGGTGAGGCAGTCTCGGAACCGAGCTGAGCTCAAGGAGCCCGGCATCCTCCCTGCTCCGGCATTAAAATCGCATCAAGAAGCGTTTCAGTCACTTGATGGCACTCATTCTGCAGACAAAGTTTGAAAATTGCATGGAGTTACTTAAAAAACTTCCACACCGCCTCAGGTGTGGCTTAATAAAGCCTTTAAAAGCAGCAGGTGAATTTAATTGAAGAGCATTCAAGTGGAAACAGCTGTGTTCAAAATGGTTTCTCTCAAATGTGCCTCATGACCATGATTGTCAGCAATTCACGCAAACCCAGCTGCACCCACTGGAGAGTACATTGACGAAAATAAACGTTATTTTGTAATCCCTAGAATTAGAGTAGTTCTCTAAGGTCTCAACCCCAAACTTCAGTGGAATCAAGCTGTTCAAAAACTGACTTTCAAAGACCACTGGTGTTTTACATTGGCTGCAAGTACGAAAGTTCATGGATATACACTGACTTTTAAGGTTTGGGTTTGTTTTTTTCATTTTAGTCCCGTATACTTAAACCAACTTTTATGCAGTTTGCATAACGTTTGTTGCGCACCCTATAATCTAGAATAAATAAGTGATAAGATATATGCATATCTTATATTTTATATACATATATATATGTATATATCTGGATTGAACTAACAATCTTTCACAGCACATTATAAATGCAAACACAAATTCCTTCTTGCTTACTTTCTACAGGCATAGATGCAACGTGTACAGAAAGCTTCACAAGAGTGGCTGTACTGTGCTGTAATTTTTGTTTATTTGACACTGCAATGCCAATCCAAACGTTGCATAAGATTTTGTTTGTTTAAAGAATCACTGGCTTGTTGGATTTGCCTTCACTTTTTTTGGATGGGTTGGGTCTGTGGGCTCTCCAGCATTTTTGCTGATCGCCTCTAGGTGTCAGGAAGGATATTTTTCAGAACGCACAACTCAAGTGTTTCTCAGCACAATGCTATCTTTATAAAATCCTCATGAATTCCACCTCTCTTCTTGACAAATAGGCACATTTTTTTATAAATAGGAGCCCATAAACCCACATTAGCCGAGTTTGGCAGCTGTTAATATACACAATTCCAGGGGGAAAAAACAAAATCAATTTGTAACTGTGTGTAGAATACTCTGTATACTTAAGAAACTTCTCAATATTGTTCAAATGTATTAGTAACCTACTTTTTTTTTCTCTGCAAATGAAATTGTTATAATATTTAATACTTTACTTTGAAATAATTAAAATAGGTTTCTAATTTTAAAGGCCCCTAACATGCCATTTGAGCTCCTGGCAAATATTTATTCTGTTATCAGTGGAATCCAGTTTTTATTATCTGTTTCAGCATCATCTATATGTAGGTGTTCTGTTCAGAGGATGCGCAAAGCATCTGCTCCAGATAACCCCATTCAGCTAAGGCAACAAAATGCTTCTAGGCATTCATCAGCAGTGTAAGATTACTATCTAAAGGATTAGAGTCACTAACGTATCAGCATAATAATTACTTTTAAAAGATCTTTTACATTTCCTGTATCTTGACTCAGGTCAACTGTGAACAAATTTAGAAACTCACTGACCAGATAAATGCACAAGGTAAAAGGCAGCCCCTACTATGTGTCTGAAGACACAAATGAGGAATGTTACAAAAGGTAGCATTGGAGATAAATGGGGTATGTGACTAGAACTGCTATCAGTAGGAAGTAAACCATTTTGTAAACTGTAAATGAAGGCAATGATATATGCAGGCAAGCAATGAGAAAAAACACAATTGTACTTCCCAGTTATAGCAGCGATGCGGAAATGTCTCTGGAATATGAGCTCAGGCAGGAACAGAGATCTGCATGCTGGTGTTCAAGGCGACACAGGAAATGACACTGAAAGGTTTGAAGAGGAAATTAGTCACTCTCAGCACAGATTGGTAAAATGGACCATACAGTAGCAAAATTCAATTAAGAGAAGAATTTGAAGGACAAGCTTTATTCATTTTTCACCAAGTAAACCACATCTGACTAGGTTTTGCTAAGACTACATTCTCAGAAGATAAGCATATACTAGGTCAATGATGAAGGGCAGATGTAGACCTTAACTGTTTCAGAAAACAAAAATTCAGCCATTTACTGTAATTAAACTGGTTTACATTGCTAATTCAGGATCTTTAAATTCCCGATCCAGAATAAACTTCTTCAACTACACGACGAAAATTATGCATTGATTATACTCAGCATCCAAAAGTAAGTTTTAGCATTTACAGTTGCTGAACATGTAGTTTAGAAGATAAAGTCTGCACATATAGAACTGAGACACTGATAGAGGCAATCGACTGTATCCTGAAATAATACTTTTTAGATAGCACCTGAGAACACAATACCACTGAGGATTTTCTGCCTTCCACAGTAAGTGCATGCTGTATTTCCTAGAAGCTCCCAGGCTTTGAACACATACCTGGTTTTGTACAGATTTGGGCAAAGTTTGGCAAAGTTTTGGTGTTTTACTAGAGCCCTAATTACCACCACAAGGAAATGTGTCAGCATGTTTTAACTGAAGAATTAAAGTCAGCAGGTTGTCTTCCTCTTTGTGGAATGGAAGCATATAGCCTTGTTTTCATTTCCAGTCATTATATTTATCACTCCTAGCTGTTCTGTGGGTGAACAGCAGGCTGCAGGCTATAACTTCATATTCTTAGATGGTGCCTGTGGCAAGCAGAAGCATCAGCAAAGGGAGGATGCAGCCTGTGCATTTTTCAGACTAAACATAAATAGCACCCAGTCCGATTGCAGCCGAGCCACATCATGGCCCAGGGAAGAGCTAAATAAAACTAAACTCCAAAATAACATCACAACTCGTCCTCTCATGATGCCCCAACGCAGCCGCCATACCCCTGCTCCCTCACGGCTCCCGCCAGTTACCTCAGCCAGCGCCCCGCCCAAGCCACCGGCTCGCTGACGTCAGCAGCGCGAGGCGGGCTCCCGACGAGACGGTTGCCGCCCCCGCCCGCCCCTTTCCCCGCATGCGCGGCCTGGGGTTGCGGCTGCGTGGGGCGGGGCTGGGGGTGTGGCCGCTGCGCAGCGCGCCGCGGAAGGAGGGTGGGGCGGTAACGCAGCGGCCGGCCCAGAGACCGAGAGAGGCGAGGTGGCCCCGGCGGCAGCGGGCCGGGCGCGGGCGGCCCTCAGCGGGGAGCTGGAGAAGGAGGAGAAGGAGGACTGCACCGCGGGGAGCCGCTGAGCTGCTGAGGGGATGAAGGACCGGCTGGCTGACCTGGCAGACGCGAGGGTTCGGCTTAGGGGCGAGCGGGGCGCCGTCCGGGGCAGGGCGGCGGCTGGCGGGAGGGCACCAAACGGCGGAGCGCGGGGGAGTTCGGGCCGCTATCGCCGCTGAGGTAACGGACAGCGGCGGGAAGGCCGGTGTTCCGCGACGGGATCCGCGCAGGCAGCGCCGCGGCCGCACCGCGCTTCCCTGCTCCCTTCTCGGGCAGGGGCGGCTTCCACCGGGAGCCGGGGAGGGTCTGGGGGCCTGGCAGTAAGACGTCAGGTTTCTCCGGTTTAGTAGAACACTTTCCCCCGCTGCCTCCTGACCTCCAGCGCGTCCCAGCCGTTACAGTTCCGAATGGCAGATAAACCGGATAATAGAGTTGTTTTCGAGTTGCCTGTGGTGTCGTGGGGTAGATCTATCCGCTTGGGAACGGTTTAACCAGTAACGCGTCAATAAAGCTATCTGCAGATTTTATTTCCTGCGTCTTTACAAAATGGTAGCTGGCTATGTTTATGCACTCTTTTCCTTTCCCTTATTTGTGCTTTGAAAACGGTATCCTAAAAAAGAAGGGAGAGTTTGAGGGAGGTACCATCCTGTCTCTCTACAGCAGGATATGGCTTGGGTAAAGTAAAAGGATATTTGGCTTGTTTTGGTTTTTCTTCCTGGAAAGAAATGGAAGTGGAAATCACGAAGGACTTCTGTGATAGTTCTGGGACTCTGCATGTATGTAGAAGTTGGCCTGCGTCAACATGCAGGCATGTTTGGGGCTCATTCATCTTAAAATTAAGTTCATATCTTCTGGATCACAAAATACATTTTGGAAGCTCTGTTTCTAAGTGGTGGAATTATCAGTACCTCCCATCTTCCTTCCTAAAAAGATGAATTGGCATCTGAAAAGATTTTGCCTTATCAGATTACAGTATCTTTATCAGGAAAGATGTTTTGGAGGCATGCCAAAGAATTGTGTAATTTGTTTCAGATTTACTTCTTCCTTTTTCCTATTTTTAAACATGTCCAGGTTGTAGGAATATGTGCCAAATGTTGGTGATGGTGCCTGCTTCCTGGAAAGAGGAAGCAGCAAGTAGTGATCTGCCTTGACTTTTTCATGTATAGCCCTAAACAAGTAGACTTCAATCTGACTGAGGGGAAGCAGCAGTGGTCTGTTGAATGGGTTTTATTAATGTAAAAACCAAAAACACGCACACACAAAAAAAGAAACAACAGAAAATAAACCCTAACACCTCCTTTTAGGTATTGTTAACAGTTTTTAAAGCAACTATGAATAGAGGCTTTTAAGCCAGATTTAGTATGTGATATCTGAAAATGTTGTGGTACTGCAGCGCTTCAACTGAAACGTCGCTTCAGGAAGCTGCTGCTTAAAAGTGTTCAGTATTGCTGCCTATAGAATTAACAAATAGCTTAGAGACTTAAAAGTTTTCTTCTAACTAGAAGAAAATATTTAAACATCAACTGAAGTTATTGAAGATCCAGTCTAAATTTTATCATGTAAAAGTGTGCAGTTGACATGAAGTTTTGAAAAGTTGCATACCTGAGGGAGGTGCCTTTTGTAAAACTTGGTTTCCTCAGGGAACTCATGGAAGTAGCAACTTCCACCTTTCATCTATATGAGAAATACTGAATGAGATCAAGTTTTTGTGATGTTCCTTCACTAGTGTAAGCACTTTCAGCTGTGATGCTTGACCACATTTAGATAAGATTGCTTTGAAAAGGAATAAATAAACTGAGTGAGGAACTAATGTATTAACATTTATTTGCCTATTTTCCAAACTGTTTCAGTTTGATTAGTGTAGTTTCATTATGTTTTATTTGGCTGAATCATTAAGTAGAGCATATAAGCCATGGTTTTTGAGCAGGCCTGGGCCTGCAAGATCTTCAGGAATAGCTGTGCCTTGCCTCTTTCCTTTAATACAAGACTTTCATTGTGTTTTACTTTGGTTGGACCTTGCCAAAATAAGTTTCATCCACCCTATTTCCCCCAAAGACCCTTTGAGGTACAGAAATAGTTGAAGAGATGCTGGCCAGTCAACATTGACCCATTTTTACAGTATTCCCTTTAGCAGAAATAGATTCATAGAATCACAGAATAGTTAGGGTTGGAAAGCACCTTAAGATCATCTAGTTCCAACCCCCCTGCCACGGGCAGGGACACCTCACACTAAACCATACCACCCAAGGCCTCGTCCAACCTGGTCTTGAAAATTGTTCATTGAAGTTAACATGTTCTTTTTTTGTGAGCTCCTGGATTTTATATGACAGCAAGCAAACTTTTGTAATTAAAAGTTGTAACTTTTTTCCTAGATTGCCCTTTATCATTCATAAAGAGAGAGAAATGTTACTTATCAGTATTTGTGGTCCATCAACATAAAATGATCATAACTTTTTGATACTTTTGTTAATACACTGTTTTTTAAGCAGTTAAACAGGGCTAAAGTAGCTGCTGGAGAATAGATGATGTTGCATCCTCTTATTTTCTTGCTAGAAAAATTCTTGTACAGTGCATGCTTTTACAGGAGAGAGCAACCATAATTGTATTTGTCCACTTGTAGGGGATTATTTTAATGTACTGTCTAAATGAATCTAAGCAGGCCAAGATGAACTTCTTTTCAGCTGTTAGAATTGTCCTTGAATGCAATTAACTGGATAATTGATCAAATCCCAGACTGGTATTAGTTATTTTGAGCACAAATTAGTGTAAGAATAAAAGATTCTCTCTGATCCCATATGCTGTTTTCAGCAGTGGTGAATGGTATATATTTATGGAAGAGGAAAAAACAAACCCAAGGCAAGTACGTAGCACTGATTGTAAAGCATTCTCCCAGCCTTCAGTGGTTTGCTGTTCACGGATACAAATCCATCTTAAAATGGCTTGAAAAGAGCCATAGGGTCTATGTTCAGACAGTCAGCTTAGCACATTTAGCTAGTGTCAGATGTTAAAAACAGATGCCCTTTTAAAGGCCTGTTAATAAAACTCATTCAAACGTTTTTTTGTTGTACTTGCTGAATCATTTAAGAAAGCATTAAGATGTAAAAAAACCTCTGTTTAGGAGTGATGGTTTGGGTCTCAAGATAGGGAGCATTATTCATATGGCTTTAAAATTACTATCTTGTTTCTGAAATGGATGCAGAGCTATCTGTTGAAATCCAGTTTTCTTGCTTGATTGGTTAACAATTTTAAATACATGCTTTTACATTTCCTTACTCTTCAGTGTTACTGAGGATATCTCTGACAAAACTTTTCAAAATGTATGGTTATAGCTTTTGTTGTTGTTAAAGACCTGTAACTTGAACAGAGCTGCATTGATGTTTTGTAAGCTATCTCTCGGGCATTCACTTAGTGCCCCCAGAGCTGTTTAGGAGCAAGTGAAGAACCACAAAGTCCTGACATTTAAAATTGTTAGAATTGGGTGGAATGGAAACAAAATTGCAAAAGGAACTATTTCAGAAGGAGGAAAACATTACGGGGTTTCCCTCCTCGGGAGTTAACTTCTTACATTAGTCTTTGTTCAGACATGGAATTTTCTGAAGATGAGCTTTATGTTTTCCATGTCATAACAGGCTAATTTCATATAGATGGTTACCATATGATGCTGTTCTGGCTGTATGATAATGCTACTAAATGCATGTTAAAGATTGACCTGCTGGAGCTGCCTGTTTGATCATCTTGGCTGTCTTTAAGTCCTTCTTGGCTGCTGGGATAGAAAAGAATTTCTGGAAACACTGATGCCATAAGGAGAAACTGTAACACTGTAACGTGCTCCTTGGGGTTGAGTCCTTGGAGCCTGCCAGAGGAGTACACATGATCTGGACTGAGAAATAACTAACCTTGGATGGGATTTAAAGGGCAGGTAATAGTTGTGGGTTTAGGTCAAAAGCTGTTTCAGTTTCAAAGGTCGATAATTAATGTGGTAGGGAATCTCAAGCTAGACTGACTTTTGCAATTCTATAAGGTATGGGAAATGTCAGAAGTTTCATAGCCACCAGGATAGCTTCTACTTGAAGCTAAGAAATTATATTGTCTGAGTATCTGGATTCTGTGATACAAACCAGTTTCTAAGGAACTTGATACATTTTACAAGTCTATGACTGTTTATAGAGTTGTATGGGCCAGACTTTGAGTCCCAAGGTCAAGGTATGAGCTGAAAACAGGCTTCATTAGTTTGCTCTTGGCATTGACGTGGAACTTTTATCAGCTTTTTCTGATACTGCTTATGCTGGGGAGGCAAGGTCTAGGAGAAACAATGTGTTTCTGTTGATGATAAAAGTGAGTCCTTGGTTACATTGTGTTGTCGTCAGAAGAGGTGCATCACTGAAGTTCAAGAGTTAGCAGGTAAGCTGTATTTTAGGGACATGGTGATTTAAGAATGTAGAGATGAGAGGTTGACAAGTCATCAGGTATCTCAAGTGCTGATGTTCAAAGTAGGATGTCCATAAATCCTTCACCGCATTGTAGACAGGGGATCTGTCAATGGTGTCATTGCAACCAAATGCAAAAGTGAAATGAACGTGGAACTGCCTATAGGGTGGGGAATCCTGATTGCTCCCTTCCAGCCTGGCATCTACAAACAGGGCTTCCCAGTAAGCTTTTTGTATCTTTAAGATTCACTCAGGTGTTTAATGTTTTACTAAGATCATCTGACCAAGCTGAAAGCTGACATTTGCATCTCTAAGCTAATGCTGTTTTCGTTATTTTCAGTTCAATTAACTAAATACAGTATGTGGTTATAAACAAGTAGAAAAAATATTCTTTACTCAGTAAATGTAAGCAGAAGTTGTTCTTTTACGTAAGTAATGAAATTAAATGTCTTTAATGTGTAGCTCATTCTTAACTTTCAACTGGTAGCTTTGTAGTCTCTGGCATGGGTAAAAGTTGGGTGACTTCAGTTGGGCACTGACTGTCTCACTTGTGTGTGTTAAGCAAGACTGTTGATTAATTACAGTCCCTGAGGACCAATTCTTTAATACTGAATTCTAACAGTCATGTCCTCAAAATGAGTAACTGCAAAAAGTCTTCAATGACACACAGTGCTGTGAGTGATGGGAGGGTGGGCAGGGAAAGTAGTAACATCTACATTTCTGTATTTCAGCTGGGGCTTTATGGGTTTCCATAAGTATAAAAAATACAGATGATTTCTGACAAAGATTGTCAGGGCTTTATGCACTCCCTGAATTTGCAGGAAAAGAACTGTCACAAAGTCTGAGTAATAACTCCTTGAAGATTTGGGGCACTCCTAGATCTTCATTAAATATAACCTTCTCAATTAGATAATAGCAGTGCTTGACATGGGATTAAATTGCAGAATTGTCTTGCAAATAATATACATCTCACCTACTGTAATAAAACCAGAAACAAAGGGCCTATGGGTAAATAGGATCAGGGTTTAGGAACAGAAAGCAGGTGTTAGAAGACCAAAGACAGAGGGACTTGTATGAAGAAAAGTGTCTAGGATGTGAAAATCCCTTGATGGTACCTGTCTTGTATTTTATTTTCCTAGCAGATAACCCTTTGACTATCTGCTAGAATAATACTTTGTTCTAATTTTGGTTTAATGCTGTTCAAACACCAGTGCTTTACAGAGGGAACTAGAGAACATGGAGGCTGGAGCTCTTTGCCTTTCTAGGATGCATGTTTTCTCTTTTCCTTTGATAAAACTTGAATATCTGTTCCTTTGAGGATCTGTGTATTCTGCAGGGCTGGCTCCAAGGGTTAGGGCAGTGTGACAGAGGCAGTGTTTTGGGCTGGATGCCCTGGCGAGCTGCGACAGCCTGTCAGCTTGAGCTGCTGCTGCCTTGGCTGCTGTTCCAGGGTTTATCAATTATGTAATGTGTGTATAGTTTAGTGTGTGTAATTATGTCTAAAGTGGTGTGGAATGGCAGCCTTGAGACATCCAAGGGCAAAACTAATAAGCAGATGTTGGTAGCTTTTACTTCTAGCTTGTATTAGATGTTGAGCTTTCACCATCACAAGGCAGTCATCAGCACCTCTCTTAGCATTTCTTTGAGAGGGATTGATTTACTGTCTCAGTAAACTGAATGTTCATATGGGACTCGCTGTGCAAGTATCTTTATGCTGTGAGAGAACACTTGGATGCCAAATACTGTTTGAATAGTTTTTATGACAGGTACTGAAACTGTGACATCACTCACAGACTGGTTCTGTCCTGAAGGTGTTTACAGAGGAGTACATGTAAATGCCTGAGCATTCACTACTTCATGGTAGTTGGGTGGTTTCTTTCTTTGACCTCTCTGCTTGTTTGTTTTTGAATTGTGGCCCTCAGAAGAAGGAAACTTACTTTTGTGACTTGGCAGACTGTTGGCAGAAATGTGTCAGCAGTAGCAGTGGTGAAGAGGGTGTCATTGTGTTGAACAGGAGCCTGAGTTTTATTTCATAGATTTGTTTTGTTGTCTTTTACAGTATAAAGGAAATGAAGATGGGGAGACAGTTATTGTTGAAAAAGACCATTTTATGGATGACTTTTTCCAACAGGTAAGGTTATAGTTTTCACCATGCATTAACGACTTAGTTATTTTTCTGTGCCTTTTAACTTCTGTAATTAGGCTTAACAAATTCATCTACACCCCATCCCCAGTATGCTTTGTAATGGTGTTCTAAATGAAATGTTGCTCTGAATTATTGTACTGTTCTCATTGCCATATTTCTCTTCCTCTAGGTTGAGGAACTTAGAAATAATATAGCAAAAATAGCACAAAATGTGGAAGAAGTGAAGAAGCAGCACAGCATTATCCTGTCAGCACCAAATCCTGAAGGAAGTGCGTATCACTTTTTTTGGATTTCAGATATGTGTAGCTATGGGAATAGAACTTGAGGTGTTCAGAATGCGAAATGTAACACAATTCATTAAATATTTCCATTTTTAATCTTGGATTAATGTTTTCATTTGCTTATTTTTCATTCTGTAAGTCTCATTTGATTAACTACATTTTCAGCGTATTTGTTGCATGATCCACATCTTTGCTAGAGCAAAACTCCAGTTCAATATGGTATCATGAAATGGATTGTCTTCAGAAACATAAAGGCTATTTGCATTTCTTTTAATTGATGACAGTGTTGAAGTGTCAGCTGACACTCATACAGTACAGCCATCATGGTCTCTTATTCTTAAGTAGGGGCAAGATCCTGCCTAACAGTAACACTATAACCAGCTGCTTCAGCAGTAGTAGACAGTTCGATGATGGAGCCCTATTTTTAGAAGTGCTGGAAGTGCAGATGTGCTTTCTGAACAGAGAACGTAAAAGTTTAGGGAACTTACCCAGAAACCTGATGTGTTCTCAGCACTTGTTAATTCAAGGAATGCCTCTGTTTACGGGAGAAGCTTAAAGAAAAGGGAAGAAAAGATGGGGAGATATTTTTGTGAAATGTTGCAACTCTTTCTTGTTGATGACAACTGAACTTTCTGTGTTAGTTTTTCTCTCCCTCCTATTTTCTTTGTTTACAGATGGGCATACAATTGTATTCTTAAATGATTTTGCAGGCTGCTTTTTGTCTTAACAACTGTACACAGTCATACATACACCTTGGGTTCATTTGAGTGTTTTAACATCTGTGGTCTCAGCTCATGTATCAGCTTGTGTTTGTGCTAAAAATTGTGCTCAATCATGCATTTGAATTGTGTAGGAACATGACCTTGCCTGTAAATAACGTAGGCTCTTGTGAATCTAGCGTCTTCAGTAAACCCAGTAGCAGAGATGTAGTGAAATTCTTTGTGAATTCTTTGTGTAGTATTCTTAATAATATGGAGTGCATGGTTCAGATGTGTTAATAAAGGTAAAAGCCATGAGCCCATGTTAAACAACAGAAGCAGAAGTGGGGAAAAATCGGTATCGTCACTTGATAGACTTCAGTGAACTTTCATTTTGATGAGCGAATGAATGTTACTCTGAAAGTGTTACATTAAGAAAAAATGTGGAATATTTCATCACCTGGTTTAGTTCATGACTTGGTAATAACATTTCCTAACTGTAAGAGCTTCTCATAAGTAGCAGGAACCTAATAATATGCTGCTACAAAAATGGTAAAGTGTTTAGGAGTATAATAAACAAGTCCTCTGCATTGTTATACTGGATGCAGTTATGACATTGCACGGTAGAATTCTAGATAGTTGCTGGCTTACCATTATCAACAGTTCTGACGAGAAAAAAAAAAAAAAAACAACATGTTTTTCATTTTCTCTTTTTTCTTTCAGGAACAAAAGAAGAACTTGAAGAATTAAATGAGGAAATAAAGAAGATTGCTAATAAAGTCCGAGCCAGGTTAAAGGGTAAATTGTGAGGAGAAATAGAACTGCTGTCATGTCTAATGATTCAGGATGTAGCAGTTTTACAGACTTAGCACATTGCAGCTGAACTCCTAAACTTCAAAAGTTGCATTGTGTATGCATAAACCATATTGGATGGCTCTTTAAACTAGAAAACCTCCCCCTCCCTGCCAACTAATGTACAGCCCATGTCAGGAACAGTATTGTCCTCTACTTTAGTCCTCCTTGGCAACCTTCACCGCTGACAAATACCAGGTCTCAGCACATCCCAGTCTGTGGAACAGGACAAAGAGCTTGCTTGCTTTCAGGAATAGCCTAGAAAATTAAAGTGCAAAGTAATTCCTCTGTGTAGAAGTGAATTCTGCAGCTTAAATGCTGGGTTTTGGTCATGGTGTCTTGGAAGATTTACCGCAAGAACAGTCTCCGTAGCATACATACCTACACAGGGAATTGCTTTAGAGTATTTAGTGTGTTTTAAATTCAAACTAGCTATTTTTGCTGTGGCTTTCCCCTATGGCTATGTCTGCATTGTTTAGCATCGGTTTTGAAATATATTGAATGTTTTAATGTTGCTGTATTACAATTACTTCCATAAACACTAGGGTATGGTGTTTATTGTTCAAACAATAAAAGCAGCCAGTATTGTTAGAACTTTGGATATTTTTCTATAGTAACAGGCAGTAGTGTGACTCTGTAAAAGTATTGAAGTGGTTACTGTGTTACAAGAGCTGTACCAATTACCGAAATTATTTTGTATTATCTATATATCACTGCCACACACCAAATGTTAAACATGTCTGTGGGGATCTTATACATGAAGAAAGTATTAATTAACACTATTTACAAAGTAACTGAGCTATTAAGTAATTATACTGACCATTGACTCATAACATTCTTCTATTGTTCTTAGCTATTGAGCAGACTTTTGATCAGGGCGAAAATGCTAATCGGACATCAGTGGACCTCAGGATAAGAAAAACACAGGTATGATCACTTAAGTTTAAATAAAAGGATTCTAGTAAATTGGAGAATGAGTTTTCACCACTGTGAAATTATTTCAGAGGTTCATGTTCTGTTTTGCTGGAATGTAACTTTCAGTTGCTGTGCAGTATTGTGCTGTGTTAAAAAAAAAAATAATAGGTTTTGTTCCACATTTTTATATCCTTATAAAACAGCACTCTGTATTGGCTCACAAGTTTGTGGAGGTCATGATGGAATACAACGAGACGCAAACTCTCTTTCGAGAACGCAGCAAAGGTCGGATACAGAGGCAGTTGGAGATAAGTAAGTGACCTGAATACACGTTTTTAAAAAGTTAATTGTGTTGTTAATATCTACTTTGTTTCTTGCTGCTTAAAGATGGTACAAAGCATTATAGATCTTGAATGTCTTCTTGCAGGATGTGAGAGGAAAAACTATCACATGGCATAAACTCTTTAGTGTTGCTGTTCAGAGCAGCTGTAAAGAAGATAAGGTTAAACTCCATACATTTTTTTTTGTTGTTGAAAACTATTCAAATAACTGTCTTTTCCTTTTGTATCATTTATTTCTGATGCTACAACTTTTGATGAAACATTGAGAAAAGCTGTGTTCTGAAAGTAGTATTAGTAAAAGCCATTCTAAAATTAACGTGTTAAACAGAACATCTCTTTTTATCCTGTGACATTTTTGTCAGTAAGAACATTTGTTAAATTCAGCTGATGTAAAATCAGTGCTGCTGTTAATTTACATTCATCATTTGTTGACTGACTTGCATCTAAGTTATTTCATCATTGATAACTATGAGGAGTATTCAGAAAGGTAATTGTACTCTGAACTACAGCATCTACCTCAGAAGGTGTCTAAAATATCCATAACATATTGTACCTAAAATTAGCCTTTATTATCTCCTGTAAAAGCAAGTACATATATTGCTGAAATAGGAAATGCAAACAGAAAGTTGGCAAATTACAAGGTAACTTTGCTTTTCATGTGATTCTCAAGTTTGTCATTAGCCTCTCATGCTTATGGTTCAGTTCAGCTTTTCAGTTAGGTTTATTGGGCGAGTTGAGTTCTTTACCTATATGTTTAAGGAGAGAGATCCTAATACTTCAGGACATGGTTATGTGTTGCTATTACTCAGAGCCTTCAGCTTTTCCTCAGCATTGTCTTCTGGCTATTACTTGATATTTTCTGTTTTGGGTTGCTTTGCGCGGGTTTTTTTCCATATGCAAAATGGCATTTGATAATGGCTGAAAACAATGCTTAATAGAATAATTTTCTTTGAATTGTCATCCTTCTGGTATGGCAAAATTTTATGTTCAATAATGAGTGATGTTACGTAAAGTATTGTTGTTTCTATCCTAGCTGGAAAGACCACCACTGATGAGGAGCTGGAAGAAATGTTAGAGAGCGGTAATCCTTCAATTTTCACTTCAGATGTATGTATTTCTAGTCCAGTTTATGCCTCTCTTCTATTTTGCTGCTTCTCGTATTTGGAAGTATGTCAGCACATATTTATGTCCATATCTTTTTCGATCTTCCAAAGATTATATCAGACTCTCAGATCACTAGGCAAGCTCTGAATGAAATTGAGTCGCGTCACAAGGATATCATGAAACTGGAATCCAGCATACGGGAACTACATGAAATGTTTATGGACATGGCAACATTTGTTGAGACTCAGGTAAATGAACCAATTCAAACACATTTATCTAAGAGGGATTTTTTATTTTTTTTCTTCCCCTCAGTATTCCTCTGTGAAATATGCAGGAACAATTGCTTCTATTCAGATAGTACAGACTTAGGGTGGGTTTTGACTATGATTAGAATATACGGAAGTTGATCACTAAAGGTTTTTTAGACAAACACAATCTGGATGTACTCGTGGTATATCTATGAATAACTAAGCATAGCCTTTATTTTCACTTGGTGTACTTAATATTTTCTTCAACGTGCTTATATTGCAATAAGCTTGAACATTTTATCCCTGGTTAAGAAAGAACAGCATTCTGCTGGAATGTTTGCCTGTATCTTGGGTGTTCAGGATTCTTATAGGTGTGGTAAAGGACTATTGTGGTAGAATAAAATGTGCATTAGCAAGAATGTATGCAACTTGCACATAATACAAAGGTCTGATTACGGTTCTAAGGTGAATATACAGAGATTGAAAAGTCATTCAAGTAGTTTCTTATGTTTATAAGCTTTATCTTATCTACATAAATTTGTTCATGTCTTTACGTACTAATTATCTAACAAAAATATTTTTAACTTATGTTCTTATAATTCTTTGCCTTATGCAGCAAAGTGGAAAGAGTCGTGTTCAGGGGAGGCACTTCCTGGAAAGGACTATTTTATTTGTTTTTTTTTAATTGGGTCTTGTTCTCCAAGTCCTACATTGCTTTAATGTTAACTATCTAGCCAAGGCAAAAACCCAAAAGGTAGCAGTTTTCTTTCGAATTAGAAATGAACAAAAGTTACTTGTGCATCATTTTTTAATGCTTTGCTGTTTACTGCTGCTGATTATTTCTTCTGATGGACAGAAACACAGGTAATAGAGTTACTGTAATTTTTCACCAATCCTCCATTTCATTACCAAACTTCATTCATCATACTTAATTTGAATTTCTTGTGTCCTGATATGGTGAACCCTCAATTCCACGGAACTTCTGAGGTTGCTATTATATGTGTGTGTGTTCTTAGATAACTGTTGAACCTTGTGTCAAAAGAAGTCAGTATCTTTTCCCACTTGCAGGCACCTCAGAGATTTCTCATCTCTTTAGTGTGTCAGCTTTAGTTTTGGCTGTTAAAACATACCTCACATTCAGTGGTATGTTTTCAGATGTTCAGTATTTGTTCGTGCTAAAGGGAGAAATATGCCTGCCCTGCCCATGAATGCTCCTTGTTTAGTTAGACCTTTGTGCCCTTGCTTCTCATTCCCTTTTCCATTTACACATCAAAGCAGAAAAAACGTCAGCTGCCAATATGTACATTATTTACTGTTTAATCACTTATGTCCTATAGCCTTCCTTCTCTTCAGTTCATTAAGCAAGGATCCATGTATTCTAATAAATTTTATGTTCAAAACTTCATTTTAAGGGTGAAATGATCAACAACATAGAGAAGAACGTGATGAATGCATCAGATTACGTGGAACATGCAAAAGAAGAGACAAAAAAGGCAGTTAAATATCGAAGTAAAGCACGAAGGGTATGCTATCTTTCTGTAATTGTGCTAGTCAGTATATTAACTTAGCACAGTATGAAGTGACCTTCAGTTTTAGTTGTGTTGTTGTATTCAGTCCATTAAGGTAGAATTAATGCACATTTTACTTTTCTGTAGTTATGATATTTTAAATTACAAAACGTTGTTATAAAATAGTATATGACAGGAAGATTTACCAAAGGATTTTACAAGCAACACCACAGTCCCATCAGGAAAAAATCAGAACCTTTCCAAAGTGATTTGTTATAGTTACTAAAAATTTGTATTGCCAGTAGAGGACAGAAACTTGTCTTACTACAGAAACGTACAAGCAATTCATACACAGATAAGGCTATGTTTTCTATTTAAAAAAGCTGTTATTACAGAATGTAAAAACCCCGAAAGAATTAATGTACTATGCCAGTAGATAAATTCACAGGTGGTTCTTATCCATTACTGTGCTACTTTTTAATTATTCAGACTCTAAATAAGCTTAAAGGTTTTTGGATCTTTATCACTGGTAAACTTACCTGGATTTAGAGCTGTAAAACTGCCATGTTAGCAGGAAAAACAAAATTGCTGGTTTTGCTGAAGCAGGCTTTTTTAGAATTCCATCTGCAATTACTCTTTTTACAAATAAGTAATTCTGTACTCTTGTACAAGTACTAGATAAGGGAGATCTTCCCTCTGGAAAGGGTGTGATATTAAACCACTATTCTGAATTTTGTGGAGGAATGCAGTAACGTTCAGGTGTTTGCCATTGCTGTGAAAACTTTTGTGTTTCAACATCTTCCTTCCCATCAGAAAGCCAAATAATATATTCTGGAATCAGACTACTGAGTAATTTATATTTTGTAACTGTATGATTGCAGAGTGAATGAATTGTTCCTTTGACTTCATAATTTCCCCTTTTGAGAAGCTGTGCAATTTTGTGAGGCTTTTTATGGTGAGTTGGATTTGAGGGAATAATATATCTTTCTACAGACAGACAGATATCTACATATAGGTAACACACTGTATTTAAAGAAAATATGCAAGAAGTATCAAAAGAGCCCACTTAATGTATATGTAAATGGTGGTTTTCTCATCTTTGGCAACTATATAAATATTAACTACAGTAGTTTATCTGTAAACAGTGTTTATTCTTACGCAGGCAAGAGTATACAGGTAAATTTATCTTGATTGGAGAACACTGCAGGCTTTAACAAAAATGAGCGTGGATCTAAAACGTGACTATTTTTAACATTAAAAAGAAATGCAAATCGTTGTGCTTAATCTTAAAATAATAAATACCTTGTTTTTTGACAGAAAATGTGGATAATTGTCATTGTGTCATTGGTGTTGATTGCTGTAGTTGCTCTAATTATTGGTTTGTCTGTTGGTTTTCGGTGATGCATGGATAACCGCAGCATGTGTGACTTCCTGCCACAGTGGCAGTAAGTAACTAATCAACTAATTATGCTCTTGTTTTGGCCTGGTAACTTGTATTGTTCTACTAACCCCTAATATCCATGCAGTTAGTACTGGAGAGTAGGCTTAAGATGCATTGGGGGATCTTGTTCATCTCTGGATACTGTAAAAGTGCTGTGCATGTCAGTATTGAAACTGACACCTAGTGGTAAGCTGCCACATGCACAGAATGTGATCACTACATGAGACTCATAAATGCAGAAGGAAATGAGACCAAAAATGCAGTTACTGTCTTGCAGCCCTTTGGAATTCTTTTATACTGAAACTTTACATCAGCAAAAAATCTACACCAATATATGGAATACCAGTTACACTTGGAACTTTATCAGATGGGGTGTTACATGGTTTTAGGCAGAGCTTTCATAAAAGTAAATGTCTACAACCATGTAGTTGGCTATATGCCTTGTAGAACATCCTACAATTTCTTACTCTCAAGCTATTTATTAATACCGGACTAAATGAAGCAGTGGGAAATAATATATTTGTAAAAGGAAGTCTACAAAGATTCCAGCTGGAATTTTAGTACATAAATTTGATAATTTGTTCAATCTTCAGATTCTTGCTATACTAAGCTACCATTTCTTGTCAAGATAACACCTAACCAAGCCACTTAACTCCTCCTGAGTCCAACAGAAAGTCAACTTCTGCATGCAGGATCCTCAAACTATGCATAAGGCACTATGAACAGGGTATCACTCTGAACAGCTTATCAGAAACTCAGTTTTCTGTACTAACACTCTTTTAATAGTAAGGCTTTTACTTTTGTTGTTAGAGTTTCTTCTCAGCTTTGGGTTATAGGCAGGTAACAGATTTACTGTATCATTGCTTAGAATCAGAAACACCTGACCTAATGTCAGACTTCCATGCATGTACATAGAACCGATCAATTTTTCCCCCCTGCAGCTCTTCTGAGGTATTACCTACACAGTGTTTTTACTTATGTTTTATTGAGTTCTATGAATTCCATTAAGCATGCCATCTTAAAGAGTTGAGCAGACTACAAATATTTATCCAGGGAGGGTGGCAGTAACCAATGTAACTGTACTTAGACATGACCCTGATAAGTAAATGTTCACTATTGCATGTTTCTGTATGTAATATCTACAAAAAGTTGGCTGTGAGTAATAACAATTCTACTGTGAAATAAAACACAGAAATGTTTCACAGAGCTCCATCTTCTAAATATGGTTACATGTATGTTAGGAAAGAATAAATGCAGTAAGCATTTATCTTAATTTTTCTAGAAAGAAAATCGAAGCACTGAGATGAGGTATCAGTTTTTCTGTGGCTGTACGTGTATGTGAACAGGGTATTTCAATCTCAACTTTTCTTTTTACTTTTTTTGCAGAAACTGATGTTCATCATTATCTGTGTTACTGTACTGCTTCTGATACTTGGAATTATCCTAGCGACAACACTATCCTAGCAAGCACATTCCAAGAGTTATGAACCTTCAGAAACTCCAAAATACATCTTCTGTAAAACCAAACCTGTTTTAATAAGTGATGCCTTACACTGTTCCATGATGATGACCTATCACTAATGGTTAAAAATCTAAACAAAGTTGCTCTTATTGTTTACTTATAAATGAATACGAGAATGTATTAGGATATGGATGGATTTGCATCATAAACTCTATAAGACTGAAACTTCTCTTAATTGTTTTGAACTAAAGTAAATTAGAATTTTTTTTCTTATCTCAGTGTTACAAACAGTTTAAATAGGGAGTTGAGAGACTTTAGAGTTTTGACTGTTTGGAGCTTTTTCCTATTGCAAATCTGATTCGAATCATGAAATGTAGTACCATACCCATTCTGCTTTTGTTAGCACTCGTGTGAACATTTTTGACATGTAGCCTTGTCTGTAAGTATAATTATTTAGTCACCTATCTAAGCTTTATACTTGAATTTTTTTTTCCCAACAAGTGCTAAAGTATTTTAGCCTGAAAAGACTCCTTATTTAACTGTCTGCCTATTGCAGTCCACTTGAGAAGGAAAAAAACAAAAGCCTTTTTTACATTTCCAGGCTTTTTGGTTTTTTTCTTCAATTTCAAACTTTAATTGCTTTAAATGTTTCGTTGCCTTTGTAATAAAATGTTAGTTGCAACATTTCTGGTAAAAGAATGCAATAATGAAGCACATTAAATTTGAACCTTAGCAGATAATTTTACAAATAACCCTTGTTCAAACACAAATAACCCTGATGGATCAGTTTAGCCTTACTATTAATGTGACAAAAATCATATTTTCTCTATAAAGCCAAGTCACAATTTCTTATTCAGAAGCTTGCTAATGTTGATGTGTGAGTATAGCACATAAACTCCTTCAGGAAAGTCTGAAACATAATAAAAACTAAGACACTGATCTGTTATGAAATTAGTCTTAACATGTATGAAGTGTTTTAGTGTATACACACCCGTTGTACTGCTAGTTTGCAACACTTACAGGCTTGAAAGATTTCAAACGTAACTAAATAACTGCATTTAATGTTACAAGTTATTTTTGTACTTTGTGTGTAAAATATTTGTAACTTGACTTTTTGACTTTTCATTGTTGAAGCATATCTATGTAGATATGTAGATATATTTACACTGTGAGAGAATTAGAGGGAAGTATAATGTGTGCCTTTTAAATACAGTCTAAAAATACACTTGTCAATGTTTCAAATAATTATAATGTTAACTGCAATGACTCCTTAAACTCATGTTTTGTTGAAGGTGTCCAAGATGGAAGTTACTCAGTCAACTGTAAGTCAGTCTGTGGACTTCATTAAATTCAGCAAAGTTTACAGTGAATATTGTATGTATGACTGTTCTTGCTTTGCTGTCCAAATACACTGTGAATGTGCTGGAGCTGTTCAGATGTCAAACATGTTTAAAAAGAAAAAAAATTACTATTATTGGTCTTTTTGCAATAACGAAGTCACTTGAAAAATTTTGGCTTCATCAATGAACAAATTTCTTTACCTCCAAGTCCTTACAAACATGGGTGAGTGTTCTGGAAGTTTACATGCAAAGTAGGGAAAGATTGGTTGCCTTAGTACTCAGTCTAGGTAAAATATATTTTTTATTCTATAGTTTTCTAGATTTTTATCAGTAAATATTATTTATACATATACACAAATTAAGGGGAAAAGAAACTGGTTCTGCTGTTTAACAGCTGATCACCTAAAACGACCCTCAGAATCCCATCATGTTGAGTTTTTTATTTATAATCCAATAATTTCCCCAAAGACAAGAAATTTGAATAGCCTACTCCATAGCTTTTTGTTATACAGCTGTCTCAGAGTTTGTTTTAAAACAAAACTTGTTTTTCACATGAACTTTTTTGTTCTTGTTAATATTGGAGAGGAATATATCTCTAACCTATGCACTAATAAATTTACCTAAGCAAGTATCTTGTGGCTGTTTTTATATTTATGATGTTATTGTGACCTTTGAATATTTCCAGTAAGTGTGTGAATTAGGCTGGTATGTTTTTGTGAAGACGTGTGTCAAACAACTGGTACTTAGAGTAAAAGTAGTATATTTCCTGAACCTTGTTACCAAAAAAGGTGTAGAGATGGTCAAAGTAGATGTAGAGAGAAATATGAAGACATCAGTGGGATTTATACCTTTTTAATATACCCATGGAATTTTGCTTAATATTGAACTTGAAAAATATGTGAATTATTTATTTGAATGAAGCTGTTCATGTATTCTCAAAAAATCCTCATAGAAGTGCATATTTATCACTGCAGAATGAAAATAACTTCCTCTTACCTGCTCACCCCAGAACTGGAATTTCTGGTATGGATCGAGGGTTTTGGTGTCCAGGTGGTAACTGGAGTTATTCCCATTCGCTCGTGTTTGAAACTGGTGTGCCACTCTTGAGAGCTTTTTGCTGGCATTGAGTGCTGTTACCCAAGTACCTGTGGAAAAAGCATCAAATCTGAACACAAATGAATCCAACAGAATGAACTAGAGTTGTTTCCAAATTAATCTGTCTTTATTCTGCTTCTCTTTGCTCTGTAGTGTAAAACACAGAGAAGACATTTCTAGGCAACAGAGGATTTGTTAAACATGGTTTTGATGAATGCAAGCCTGATAAATAAGATTTAAAAGACAAAGGGAAATGAGGGAACTGCTGCCTAGGAGGAAGGATGTTTTTCTGTATAAAGATATTATTTTAAAACAACCCACACCCTTTCAGACAGTTGTGCTGCATGTAGTTTGGAGGGAACAGTTTGGATGTGGGTTTTGTTTTGTTGGGTTTGGAGGGGGAGCAGTGGAGGGTGTGAAAGGGGGTTTAGAGACTTGGGTTACCCAATGTTAAATTTGATTTGATGCGTTAATGTGGCTTGTATGCAACTTCTGAAAATAACCATGGCATTCTTCCCCAAGTGGGTCAGCCTTTGCACCTGTGAATCAGCTCAGTCTTTTCTGTCATGTACAGTAAGCAATTGGCTGCTCAGCTACATAGTGCCAGTTGCAGCCTCTTTAGCTGCCTCTCTCCAACACACAGAGTCCTTCTGCCAGTAGTGAAGCACTTGGACATGAGCATTTTGGAATAAAAAGAGCATTTGGTATGCACTTGTAGCTAGGTTCTGAAGAACAAAAGAACTTCTTGAATAAACTTTTTTACAAAGGAGAATACATGGAAATGGTAAGTAATTACAAAATAATTGTATTTACATGTTGTAAAGAGTGATTGATTTTATTGTCTGTGTTTGAATGCATTTTACTGCAAATCAGGGGAAAGGAGGATTTTTATGCTTAAGCATAGTTAGAGAATGGCTAAGTTCTGATGCGAGTAGTTACTGTACAACGTAGTTTCCAGCTGCGAAGAAAACAAGGATTATTTTGCATGCAAAGATTTAGTTCCTGTCCATGCTTTAGAGAGAACATGGGTCAGCCTGTGCCAATTACTGTCAGTTAACAGTAAACTGAGCTGGACAGCATTATACTAACAGAGTGCAACTCAGTGTGGAGTGTATGTCAGAATGAATAGGAGCTCAACAGAGGTGCTGTTTATGTAACAGCTCACTTTATAGCCTTTTTATGTAATCTTACAGAAAACGGAGAGGCAGCTTCCATACATATTTGACAAGGTTATTTGGTGTTATTACACAGTTGTGTTAACTTTTTGCAGTTACCAGGTTTTTACTTTTTTGAGTCTGCTACTATGTAATTTTCATCAGTGTTTCTAACACTGGATAAGAGTTAAAGGAGTCGTATTTGCCATTTCTGAAATGAGATGTGAAAGCTCATAGGTGAGAAGGCATACAAAAGCTGGTGTCTGGATAACAACACTGACAGCTTGTTGTAAAGAAATCTTAAAGAAATCTTTGTCTTCTTTTTCAAACCTTTTCCTTTCTGAATTGTGGCGTAAGCCTACGGTGAGCATCTCTGTATCAGAGAATCGGAGAATTACGCTGGAAGTGATCTCTGCAGGTCACCTAGTGCAAAAGCAGTGTCAGTGGTGAGATGAGACCAGAATCTCATACTGTTCTACATCACAGAATGAAACACTTCTGATTGTGGTTAACAGAATCTTTTAAATATAAGCATGATTTTATTTATTTATTTATTTATTTATTTAGGGTTGTGTTTTTGGTTTTTTTTTAAACCTCAGACCTTCTGTCATGACTGTTCATACAGTTGGTCTCTGTATCTTAATGTTCTATGCATTAATATAATTGTTTTTATAGGAAGTCTTATCAAACAAAATATTTGCCACTCTAAGAATTTGTAAGAAGAAAATCTGGCCTTGGGAAGAATTTTTTCCTTGGCCTGTTTGTGGAACAGATTTCAGTTATCTGAGGGATGTAAATGGTTATTTTGAAGGGCACAGTCTAGACTAAACATAAAATATATGAACTTGACAAAAGGAGCGGGGGGTGGCAATGATATTTCACAACAGATACAACCAGACAATGGTTTCCTCACTGTGAGTAGTTTCATACTACCTGAAGTATCTTTGTCCAGTCAGATGTTGCTAAGTAGAAGTGAAGATATTGCAACTACTTGAAAGCCTGTTCTAGGCTTTATTTGGATCCCATTTGTAGGTCACTGTAGAATTAAATACTCGTCAGAACTACTACAGAGCTGTTCTACTTGGATGTAGCATTGGAAGATTAAATCCTAGTTTGTCCAAGTGCCTGAAATGACTTGTCCAGGATCCCACATGATCTGTGTGGCAGAGCACAGAGCTTGTACATGGGTGCCCATTTCAGCTTATAAGACTGCTGCTGCCTTCAGACCAGTCTGCACACAGGTGAGTAAAAATGTAAAACAAATCAAATATGTGATAAATGCATCTTTATTAGAGTGGTAGTCTGACTTGCTTAGACATTCAGCTGGTTGTTGCTGTACATTTAAACAAAGCTCAAGCTCTCAGACTGAAGCACTGAAGCTCTGTGATTAGACACAAGGGATAAAAAAGAGGTTAGCTGGCCTGGTGTGTTACATCTCAAGCTGTGAAGTGCTACCTGCTGAAGGTACCACTCAAAGATGCATCTGCAGGTTGACAACTTTGGCTTGTTTTGAGGTTTTACATCACTAAGAAGCCAATGGGAGTTAGCAGTCCAATCCTCTTGTTCTAACTGAAGTAGCATTACATTTTTAGTTACAAACTATGATCGTTAGAATATGGTTTAACAAAGACTATCAAGTTCACAACACAGATGTCTTTATCACTCAGTACAGGAGCACCATGGTCTCTTATTTAGGTGGTCGATAGTGTAATAAAGCAGGAAAGGAAGATAAATGGAAATTGCAGGAAAAAAGTAGTCCCAGCTTGGTAAGGTGGCAGGCTCTTGCCAGGTTAATGTTCGATCCGGAATCCGCCACCGTGTGGAAACTGCTTGTAAGTGCTGACAGGGCTGAAAAAGTGGGTCGTGGAGGAATGCTTCCTTGGATTCGAGTCTATTTTCTTTTTTCATATAGCCTATTTAGCACTGCTCAGCATCTGACACTGACGGAAAGACCAGAGAAAGAAGCTCCTTTTCCCTACACTATCCACTTTATTTTTTTTCCCTTAAAAACCAAAACCAATTAGGATTTAGAAACCACTTTCTGGGATGCACTTTTTTCTACACTTTTTGTTGGTGGTTGATTTAATGGCTAGTAACATCTTTAGGACAGCTTTCAGAATTTTTTAATAATACAGTCTCTTTAATGCTTATTACTTCACTTTTTATACACCACAGCATTATATCAGGGCATACACCAGTCTAGTCAGGCATATTTACCTATTGTTAGCATTTTAGCCTCAAATAATGTCTATATAATGCAAATTAACTTAAATAACTTCAGTATCTCTGGGTTTCCTCTTTGAAGAGGAACTTAAGTGCCATAAAATTTGCTTCTTTCTTCCAACACCAGCACAAACTGGTTTTTAAAAAGGAAGCTGCACCTCTGCAAGATGTGTTTCAACCATCTCTCAGTTTCATGGTTGCTGCTGCTTTGCCTTTTCAAAACGTCAGTAATCACCTCTGTGAAAAAATTAATTCTCAGTTTCAAGTAGTGCTGATTTGCCTTTTGCCTTTTCTATGTAAAGGATTGGATGATGGCTGACTTGCTCTGCAGACTTAGCACTTGTTACTTAATTTCTTTAATGGACATTTGGCAAAGGCCATTTCAAACCCTGTGACTTGTAAACATCAGCCTTCTGCAGTGCTGCAGATTGGCTGGGACCTCACCAGGAAAACATTTGCCATTTTTTCCTACCATTGCTTTAGTTACTGGCACTGCTCACAGGATGCTGCTAGGAAATAAAAAGTTACTCGCTTTCCAAATGGAGTTTCTTTGCTATT